CCGGGACTCCAGGATCATGACCTGAGCCGAAGGCAGTCGCTTAACCAACTGAGCCACCCAGGTGCCCCTAAACTTGATAGTTTTACCTTACTTTTCTTTGAGCATTGATTTAGAGGTGAAGCAGAGAAACTGATTTCTATTCGTCAAAAAAAAAAATGTGGATAGAAAGTGAATTACTGCTTCTGACCAGAGCAGATACAATTTTCTGGTAAAAAAAACAAATCATCAAGGGTCATCCATGTGTGATAGACAGTGTGGATGCCTCTCCCCACTGAGGGGCTGACAGTTTCCAGCACATGGGCAGCCTCTCAGCTCAGCTTTTTCTGCCATCACTTAATTTATTTGGACTTCAGGTGCGGCCCCCAAAGTGGGAGGAGTTTACAGTCTCCCAAGTTGGGGCAACCCATACCCAAAGCAGGATAGGAGTGAGGGCATCAATGCCCATCAATGCCCAGCCTCCCCATCTTTCCGTGGGAAGATCCTGGGGCATGTTCTGCCTGGTTCCTCATAGGGTCCCCAGCAGGATTGAGCCCCAGGTGCCCACAACTGTTACCCAGGTGATTAACACACCCGTTTTTGGCCTTTACCCCTTCCCTTGGGCTCCGTTCTCTATCTCTTCACTCCTGCTGCCTGAGATCAACCCCCACATAAACTACCGCCACCCAAATCATTGTCTCAGTCATTTTCTCTGCTTTTGGGGAAATGCAAGCAAAACTGCGAGTCCTCTCCATATCTTGTTCTATTTTCATTCTTCTCATGTGCTTCCCCCGCCCCTTTTTCATACTTGCTCTTCTTCTTGGTGGGGGGAGGAGGTGCATGTTAAATAGTTTAAAATTAGAGAATAATATAAATTGTTTATTTCCAAGAAAACGTCTCTGCCTTCATTTCAGATTTTCAGCTGATTGCAAATGTATGCACCCATGGGGTGCCTGGCTGCCTTAATCACAAGAGCATATGACTCTTGATCTCGGGGTTGTGAGTTCGAGCCCCATGCTGGGTGTAGCAATTACTTAAAAATAAATAAATAAACTTAAATAATGTATGCACCCATGACCAAACACAATAGAGACAGACCCTAAAAAGGACAAGGCTTAAAACATCTCCACAGGGGGACAGCATCTACGTAGTGAGGGCAGAATAGGAAACTTGACCAGTTTCTCCCAGGGATGCTCTAGTGCAGTGCTTCTTAGTCTTTAAGTTGTCCAGGAAGCACCCGGGCCTCTTGTTAAAATACAGGTTATAGGGGCACCTGGTTGGCTCAGTCGGTTGAGCATCCGACTTGGTTTCAGCCAGGTCATGATCTCAGGGTCTTGAGATCGAGCCCCACATCAGGCTCCACACTAAGTGCAGAGTCTGCTTGAGATTCTCTCCTTATGCCCCTCCCCACACTCTCTTGCTCTCTCTCTCTCAAATAAATAAATAAATCTTGAAAAAAATACAGGTTATAATTAAACAGCGCAGAGCCTGAGATTCTGCATTTCTTGCACACCCAGAAGATGCAGGTGCTGGGGACTGGGGACTGCACTTTGGGGAATGAGGGGCTTAAAGGTGGGGGTAAAGATGGATAACCTAAAGAGGTACCACCCCACCTCACCTGACCTGACCCATTTCCCCTCATTCCCCCCAAACTTGATTTAGGATCTTTACTTTATTATTTATTTATTTATTTTTAAGATTTTATTAATTTATTCGAGAGAGAGCACTCATGATGGTGGGGGACAGAGGGAGAGGGAGAAGCAGACTCGCTGCTGAGCAGGGAGCCCCAATGTGGGACTGAATCCAGGCCCCTGGGATCATGACCTGAGCCAAAGGCAGACGCTTAACCAACTGAGCCACCCAGGCGTCCCTAAAGATTTTATTTTTAAGTAATCTCTCCACTCAATGTGGGGCTCGAACTCACAACCCCAAGATGGAGAGTCGCACACTCCACCAACTGAAGTGTGCTGATAGCAGCTTTTTTAGTAACCGCCCCAAACTGGAAATGACTAGAATACCCTTCAGACTGATGAACGAAGAAACTGTCTGCCCCACATCTGTACAGTGGAATACCGCTTACGGTTACGAGGGACTTTTGCTACACACAGTGACAGGGATGAATTTTCAACGTATTATGCTAAGTGAGAGAAGTCAGGCTCAGAAAGCTGCATACTGTATGATTCCATTTATAGGACATTCTGGAAAAGGCAAAACTCTGGTGATGGAGAAGAGCTCAGCGGTTGCCAGGGGTTATGGGTGGGGGGAGGGGTTGACTACAGAGAGGCATTTTCTGGGGGTGATAAGACCCTTCTGGGTCTCGTTTGTGGTGGTGGTAACGCACCTCAGGGTTTTTGTCAAGACGTATAGGACTGCACGCCCCAAAGAGTGGGGTGTGTTGTATTAACGTCAAAATAAATGAACACAACTTAAAAAAAAATAGGGGGTGCCTGGGTGGCTCAATTGGTTAAGTGTCTGCCTTTGGCTCAGGTCATGATCCCAGGGTCCTGGAATCGAGTCCCACATCGGGCTCCCTGCTTGGCGGGGAGTCTGCTTCTCCCTCTGTCCCTCCCCCCTGCTTGTGCTCTCTTTCTCTCTCTGATCTCTCTCTCAAATAAATAAAATCTTAAAAAAAATCTTAGGATTGACATTTTAGGATCAGAGATGCTCACACTCTTCACATCCATACTGTTTTAGAATTAGAAACTTCTAGAAATTTCAGGGTACTAATTATCACGTAAGCTCCCGTTCTGTGTTGGGTCAGGCCTGGCACTTCTCATCGTGACCTGTCTTGGTTATTGTGAAGCGTGTGGTGCGCTTCTTCTTGTTGATGGTGCTGTTTTCCGCCGGCCTTCCAGAGACCCTCTGTCCGACGCTGTGGCCTCCACTTCCTTCTCCCAGCCCCCCCGGGGCCTCCTGTCACCGCCTGGTTCCCGGGCTCAGCCAGGGCTGGAAGTTTTCTGGGAGTCAGTCTGGCCAGGGTCAGAAGATCGTGTGGGCTCTACCACTCTGCCGACGGGCCCACCACATCCTTCCTCAGGGGACCCTGTGGCCACCGCGGAGCAGCCTCAGGGTACAATGGCCAACATGTGTCTGGCTTGGGGCTTCCTGTGGTAGCTGACAGGGTGGTGGCTGGCCACAGCTGCTCCTCTCTGGGGCATGGAGGCTGCAGGCACATGCTTGGCCCAGACAACTTCAGACACTAGGAAATGCAGATGCAAAGTAACGTGGCTTGGGCCCCCTGGGTGGCTCAGTCGGTGAAGCTTCTGCCTTCAGCACCGGTCATGATCCCAGATCGAGTCCCACGTCGGGCTCCCTGCTCAGCGGGGGAGTCTGCTTCTCCCTCTGCCTCTGTCTGCCATTCCCCCTGCTTGTGTGCGCTCTCTCTCTCTCTGTCACCTATAGAAAATCTTAGAAAAAAAATAACGTGTGGTTTGTATGCCACCTGGTCATGGTCCCTTTCTGCTCCTTTTCTTTCCATCCTATAAATTTGAAGCCCCTCGGGCCTACTTTAAAAAAACGCTTTGAACTGACATGTAACACCCAGGCAGGCAAGTTCAGCAGTCGTGAAGGTGCAGCTTAATGAATTGTCAACGTCCCTGTGGAACCGACGACATTCAGATCAAGAGAAAGCACGTTTCCAGTCCCCAGATCCCCTCGGTCCCAGCGCCCCTTATAGTTTCTGCCCCCAAGAGAAACCTCTACCCGGGCTTATGACACCAAAATCTAGTTTTTGTCTGTCCTCAAATTTCTTTCTTTCTTTTTTCTTTAAAGATTTATTTATTTATTTTAGAGGTGGGGAGAGGCAGAGGGAGAGGGAGAATCTCAAGCAGACTCCACGCTGAGTGGGGAGCCCAAGGCGGGGCTCGATCCCACAACCCTGATATCATGACCTGAGCCAAAAATCAAGAGTCAGACGCTAAACTGCCTGAGCCAACCAGGTGCCCCTGTACAAATTCTTTATAGAGTCTAGATACAAATCCTTTGCTGGAGATATGTAATGTATCTTCTTACACTCTCTGAGTTGTCAGACCTACTACCATTTTTTTTCCCCCTCTCAAGGCAAACTGAAAGAATCCCAGCGCTTTATTTTGAGACTATAGGTCTTTCTAACTACTGGTAAGAACAAATCTCAGCAAGAGCAGGAAAAAAAAAATCTTTTCTCCTTCCTCCATAATTTCAGGAAAGCAGATATGATTCTGCATCATAAAAATACCCCTATAAATATTATTTCTAACAAAGGAATCTTATAAGACACCTAAACTTCAGATTTTGTTATGTCCTAGGTAAGTAACTTAAAAAAAATTTTTTTATTTATTTTTCATAGAGAGAGCACAAGCAGAGGGAGCAACAGAGGAAGAGGGAGAAGCAGGCTCCTCGCTGAGCAAGAAGCCCGACGGGGGACTTGATCTGGGATCGTGACCTGAGCTGAAGGCAGATGCTTCACCAACTGAGCCACCCAGGCATCCCTATGTAAGTAACTTTTAACCCCTAAAAACTCTCTCATTATGATTGGTTGATATGTAGTAAAAAATTTACCCTTGTCCAAAGAGAGTTCTGGCTTTTCCTCAGCTCCTGGGAGGTAACTGCAGCTCTTGGAATGAATGTCCTGCCTGATAACAGTGTCTTGGTTTACCTGGAGCCTTGGGCTACTCCAGATAGTCTAATAATGGGATTTAAGGTGGGGGCTTTGTGTCACGTGGCATCAATCAACTAGGCCACCAGAGGGTCTGAAGACCGAGATCAGCCACAGTGGTGACCAACCAGGTCTACCGGACCAAGCCCCAGCAAAGACTAGACATCAAAGCCTGGGTGAGCGTCCTAGTAGGCGATGCTCCATCTGTATCGTTGCACGCTGTGGCCAACAAAGAGCTGTCCGCGTCTCTGTGGGGGGAGGACAAGTGGAAACTCTTGAGTACAGAGCTCTCCTGGTCTCTGCCCCCTGCGTCTCTTCCCTTGGCTGATTATAGTCTCTATCCTTTGCATGTAATAAACTGTAACTATGAGCACAACTGTTTCCAGACTCAGAAGTCAGGGCAACCTTGTGGGCTGTTCCTGCATCTCACAGTTGTCTGATTTAATAATGGAAGAAGTTCATTGGCCCATCCTTCTCTCACATATTTTCCTCTGCTAGATTTCTTGTTGTTGTTGTTGTTTTAAGACTTTTATTTATTTATTTGACAGAGCACACAAGCAGGGGAAGTGGCAGGCAGAGGGAGAGGGTTCTGCAGGCTTCCCACTGCACGGGGAGCCTGATGTGGGACTTGATCCCAGGACCCTGGGATCATGACCTGAGCCAAAGGCAGATGCTCAACCAACCGACCCACCCAGGCATCCCTAGAGCTTACTTAAAAAAAGAAAAAAAGAAAAGTAAAAAGAAACAGATGAAATAATAATAGTAACACGCTCAATAATATAATTATTATATATTCGAATTAGGCCAATGATATTAATGATATATTAATATATTCTAGTCATAATGATCTTGATATTATATATTTATATTGTTACAATACAATATAAAAATTACTGAGATCTTTTACAGTCTTTTTTTTTGCAGTAAGTCTGAAATCTGGGGTGTGGGTTACACTCACGGCACATCCCAGTTTGTATGCACCACATTTCAGTTACTCAGTAGGCACATGTGTCTGGTGTAGCCAACAGCATGGGTCTGGGTCTTGAGGAGGGAGAGACACCAACATTGGGAGGATGTACACCCACTCTGCCCCAGTTCCACTTGTGGAGAGTTATGTGCGAGAAATGCTTGTATGGGGGCGCCTGGGTGGCTCAGTCGTTAAGCGTCTGCCTTCAGCTCAGGTCATGGTCCCAGGGTCCTGGGATCGAGTCCCGCACCGGGCTCCCTGCTCGGCGGGAAGCCTGCTTCTCCCTCCTCCACTCCCCCTGCTTGTGTTCCCTCTCTCGCTGTGACTCTCTCTGTCAAATAAATAAAATCTTAAAAAAAAAAGAATCCCTCTCTTGATTTCGGTCAGGTCATGATCCCAGGGTCCTGCTCAGCCGAGGGTCTGCTTCTCCCCTCCCTCTGTCCCTCCCCCCTGCACATTCTCTCTCTCGCTCGCTCTCAAATAAATAATAAATAAAATCTTTAAAAAAATGCTTTTACACAGGCACCAAGATATGTGTATGATGGTGTGTCAGTGGTATGAACAAAAGTGTTGGAAACCACCTAATTCCACCAATAGGGAAATGATTGGTTTCTAGCTAAGATTTATTATGCTGTTGAAATGGACAAAAGGTATTTTTCAATGTAGTTACAAAAACATGATTTGGAAAGCAAAAGTGATAAGAGTACTTATCGGAACAACTGGCGAGATTTGGACGAGGACTGAGGATGGTATCCGCAGTACATTTCCTGCTTGCCCTGTGCTAAAGAGGCTTGGGGTTTCCAGCTTACTCTCAAGTGATTCTGGAGGAAAATGCAAAAATAGAGATATATAGATATAAATGTAGACCTTCTGCGTCAGTTTCCCAAGGCTTCCCAGCCCCCACAATTGCATGAGCCAGTTTCTTTTTCTTTCTTTCTTTCTTTCTCGTCCTTCCTTCCTTCCTTTTTCTTTCTTTTTTTTTTTTTTTTAAAGATTTTATTTATTTATTTGACAGAGAGAGACACAGCGAGAGAGGGAACACAAGC